AGCTTTCATCTAGGTTGACTGCCATTCATAAACTGCTTTGATGAGCTCCCATCTCCCTTTCCCTCCTCCAAGCAGAAGCATCATCAAGGCTCTAAGTGGGACCTCACAAATGGAAACAAGGCCTGGAGTCTGACTGCAAAGTATAGCACTGATATGCTGAGTTACTACAAAGGTGACCAAGCAGTCCCAGCCCTGGCCCTGACAAACAGCCTTTTTCACAGCTCAGCTGAGACTTCTCCAAGGATTTGAATGAAAGATATCAGAAACTAATTTCTAAGATGTTGCCACACAGATCATTTGTGAGTAAAAGGCAAAACTGGATTAGCAGTGAGCCAAGAGTGCTCTTCATAAGCACTGATCCCAGCCTAACTACACAGGTCACATCTTCCTGGTGTTGGGACTGAGCAGGAGTGAGCAAGGAGGAAACCAGAAAGAGCAATACTGACTTGCACCCCAGCACAGCCTAGTGGTGAAGCTCTTTGCCAGTGCTTTACAAAGTGCAGGTTTCCAAGGGCATAACAACAGCATGCTTCATCCTGGAAATTATTTGTATTACTGTCCTATTTACCTTGACTTAGCATGTAATAGATTTAAATGTAAAACAAGATTTTGTTCTTCCAGATGTTTATTTTATAAAATTTGATTTACTAGAAAAATACAGTATTTCTAATTTATGGCAACCTCTTCTAAACCCTTTTTAATTGGATGGGTATTTCCGTGCCATTATTATCCTTCTGAGTTTGATGGCAGCATTGTAATTGTACCAAGTTCTTTCCTGAAGAGAAGGCAGTTTTCTTTCTCTTATTCACCTCACTATGGCCTGAAGTTATCCTGCAGAAGTCTCTAATGAATTTGAGTGATGCAGTAAAAACACATTCTCTGTGAGAACATTTTCAGCAAACTGTCTTCTACAACACTCTTATTTCTGTCTGGAGATGGAGAGACAAACAGATGGGGCTGTTTACCACCACCTCATACAAACACACTACTGTCTTTATGCTTTTAGAGAATCTGCCTTGTGCATGTGCCAGAGGCAAAATTAAAAGTAAGATATTAAGAAAAACATGCAATCTCTTTTCAAAGACTCCAAGCCATGCTGTTGTCACACTGTTCCTTATCTTCTACATTGTTTCACCTTTTCCCAGGCTAAGCTTACTTAAGGCACTAGATCTTGTTATACCTTTGTCTACAGAAAGAAAAATCCTCTATTCCATTCTTACTTTTACTCTGTAGATGAAAAATCCTACATAAAAAAAAATTAAACCACCCTCCACTATTTCTTCTATAAATTGCAGGTATTATATATGCTAAGCATCAAAATAAAATGATTGTTTTCCTAGACCTCTAATTATTTTGGTCGAGTCACCATCCCTGGAGGTTTTTAAAAGATGAGTAGATGTGGCACTTAGCAATATGGTTTAGTGACAGACTTGGCAGTATTAGGTTTATGGTTAAACTTGATGATCTTAAAGGTCTTTTCCAACCTAAATGATTTTATGATTTCAACAAATATCTATGAACTGTCTCTAGAAGTTCCATATCTTTCTTAAAATCCTGACCAGGGCATAGTATTTTATCAGAGGCTCACCAAAGCTGTGTTTAGTGGTAAGACCACTTACAACTTAAAATGTATATTTTGTGCAATCTTTTCAGTCACAAGACTTGATATGAGGTCAAACCACATGTCTACAAAGGACCCTGGTATTTTCCTTAACCTGTTCCAAATCATCTGTTGCTTACCCTGTTTCCCATAGAAGTAATTTCTCTTAGCTTTATAAACCTTAAATTTAGCTAATCTGCATTTCCTTATCTGCTCTCAGTTTCTTCTTGAGGTCTTAATATAGAACCACAGTATGAACTTGTGTCAAAAACCATCACAGCTTTTATACAAAAGGGTTTTTAAACATAAGTGTTTTAACTATTGTTGCCTCTTCCCAGAGTGGGCAGTGGAATACTGTGGAAGTGCTGGGAAGATGACTGGTTATTTCAAGTTTCCTTTCCTTCTCCACTGCCTATTAAATCTTGCCCTAACACACTCTTGCCTAGGGGAGTCACGCCAAGTTGTGCCGATGGAAGAAACACATCAACATGAAAAAGCAGGAGCCTGATGAAAGAATACTATAATGTGAAAAAAAATAAAAGAACATATTGTTTCATAATGTAAGACGACAGAGGATTGAGTCTGTCCTGGTTACTTGCAGTGGCATCTTCCAACCTCTCTAACAAGGCTTGATGGGACTCCTTCAGAGAGCATGCAGACCTGAATTAAGAGCTAATCAAAGCCCTCTCACTCCCAGCCAAGTGCAATTTTGTTAAACTCTTGCATAAATGATTACAGCAAGGCAGCAGAGTTCATGTTTATTACCTGAATTGTTTGGTAAACCGAAGGATCAAATCCTTTCACAGTCACCTCTCGGAAAACTCTTGGCTCCAGTTCCTCTTTGGTCAGATCACAGTGATATATAATACCTAAAATACAGAGTAAATTTGCAGCTTAGTATAGACCCATCATTAAAAGGATGCCAGTGATGGAGTAATGAATGGCAAAAGTGGCTCAGCAGGGTGAAAAACAGTAGCTCCAGACATGGTTTTGTCATGTATTATATAATTTAACACACCTATATATGCACTTCATCTAGAGAGGGTGCAAAGGCTTCCTGCACAGAAAGAATAATTCTCATCACTCATACATAGCCAGGTGGGTTAAGCAAAATGGGAAAAAACACTGTTTTCATGAAGCAACAAATCACTTATTGAGAATGATAATGCTGGAAGAATGAAATATAATGTCCATTTTAAAACATCTTCTCTAGATCCAGCAGACTGAGAATAAATATATCAAGAATTTCACTCCGGTCAACATTTTTCCCTTTGATATAATATTTGAAATTACGATTCAAATGGACGCCCAGGGCACAGAAAGCGCTAAGCACCCATCTGAAATTGCAGCAGACTGGCACAGGTTACCTATGGAACTGAGCACAATCTGGTCTCGTATAATTTCTTTTACATCTTTATCCTGCAGGTTTGATGGCAACCTCACTTGCTTGAGTTGCACCTATGACTCATGACTGTGCACATGAGAAAACCTAAGTCTGTAAGTAGTATAAAACTTCCTGATTGCAGCAGAGGCAGAATTGCAGAGACTGCAGCCATCTAGGCACTACACAGATGTGCGGTTAGCTAAGAATGATTTTGCATTTAGACTCCAAATCATACCTCCTGTCATTCAGCCCTAATAACATCTGAGTATGTGCCATACACTGTGACTTCTGTTGTGTTTGCACACTGGTTAACACACTACAAATTCCTAATATTCATGGATATACTACAGATACATATGATACATAAACTAACTTGAGTGTTAATCCTTTGTTATTTTCCTCCTTTACAACAAGCTGGTGCCTGCAAAATTTGAAATATTTATTAGGGAAAAGAACCCTGAAACTGAGAGCAACAAGCGCTCCACTGGGATCCCCAATGTAATAAAATCAACCAAGGTGGACAAGACTTGATTGAAATACTGCTGCATTGTGTGTATTTTAGATTCTTTCAGGAAACCAGAAGTAATTATTACAGAGGTTATAGCTATAAAAATTTATACTGAAACATGAAATAATGAGGAAACATATCTGATACAAGGGAATTGCCTCATTAAATCACTTTTATAGACTGTGGAAAATCAGGATGATACACATTGGCAAAGAAATACAGATGCAAACCAACATTTCTAAAAACTGATAAAGCCTTTTTCCATAATGGTGAATTAATAGGAGACTAAAAGCAGGACTACCCTACTCTGCTGGGATTCTTCATTTATCACAGAATGACCAGCAAGCCTAATCAGGGTGACAGGTGCAAACAAGCATTAAAGTAGCATTTCCATTAAAGATTAGGATCCAGAAAATGATGTGAAAGTACAATGTAAAGCACTCCAGGCAGTAACAGGCAGAGCAGTCAGTTGACACATATGCAGCTGCCCAGGCTGGATAATGTCTGGGTAAACATTACACACAGAGCAGGCAGAATAGCTGTGTCTCAGCAAACCACATGATGAGGTACAAGCACGGTCACAGACTGCATTCCAGGAACCAATCAACCTAATGCCAGAGTAACATGCAATTCAACCCCTGGTACTGCATCTCTTCTGCTCTTTTTAGCATCACAGAAGTTAATGTCAAAAACCATTGTCATGTTGGGGCCTGCATCCTTTTCCTGGGTGTTAAGCAAATGCAAAACAGTAGAGTGGTCACCTAAGTGTCTGACTGGAGTGGACAGCATGGATAACCATATTTTTCAAGGAATGATAAAAATTATTTTTAAGGTGTCAACATCTATGGTGTTAGAACTGTTTTATTCATTCTTCCTACATATGTTTACTATTGCTTTTGTTGTAGGTGTTAAACACCAGTATGTTAATTTGTTTCTCATTAAAAAAAGTGGTACAACTTATTACAAGTACAAATTTTATTGACTTCTATTAGTAAAATAGGAAGATATTGGTTAATCAAGGATCAGCCCCATATCTTTTCCCTAATTATTCCACTGATTGGGTGCATGGAGGTTGCATGCAAATCAAAATATAGACACACATACCAAAAAATTACCTCTCTGATCTGCTTTCCTTACCCCTTCCTTATTCTCATACAGCCTACCCCCATTTCTTACTTTCCCTTTTTTTCTAGATTCCAGGTCACTTTACCCCAGTTAACAGAGCGAATTCTTTGCAGATGCTAAACAAATGAATGAAAAGGAGAAAAACAATTCTGCCTAAGCAACCATCAGGCAGTGAGCAGCCACTGCAGGCTGGTTGGCAAGCCATGGGCTAAAACAGATCTCCAGGCTCTTCCTCATCACATTTAGCAGCTGCAGAGACTCTACTGGCTCAGCTGAGATGAATGGTGCAGGCTTGTAAGACTGGCAACTTCTGGCCCACGAGGTGGGACGTGACCAAGTGAACATGAAGCTGGATGAAGTTAGAGGTAAATGTAAGAGTGCCCTCAAATTGCTCTCCAGCTGCAATGATCTAAATGTTGCTTAAAAGAGGGACTGGAAACATAATAGATCTTATTTCTGGTTATGTATACAGTAAGATGAGGGGAAATTCATCACACTTCTTATCTGCTATGCTTGAAACATAATTTTGATAATTTGACATAATCTATTCTAGTAAAACCAGCAAACCTATCAAAACTATTATACAGCCATTTTGCAACGTGATGCTGCTGTGCTCTAAATGAAACAGGGCAAAAATATATGTCAGATACTACAAGAACATTTTTGATCATCTTAGGATTCACAACCTTGGAAGAAGATAAAGATCCTGAAGCCTATCTCCCCCTCCATATTTGGATCCTGTCCTGTATTAGCTCTTGATTTTTTTGAGCCATAAAGAAAGAAAAAGAGTGAACAGCAAATACATTTTCTTGCCATATACTAGCTTGACAAGTACATAGAAACTACCTTCCTATGCAAAATCCTAAAATATTTATTGGTGTGCCACATGTATTACATAGTGGTTACACAGTGGTTCTGGCTTTGCAGGATTGTGCAAAAAATTCCTACAGCAACCCAACAAAATCAAGTTCTGTAAGGACAGACAGTAAGGATGCTCTAATGAGACTATGCATAAATGAATCACAAAACCATCAGAGAAAGAATTTCTGTGACTTTTATTAATGTTCTTTAAAATTGTGATGAAAATCACATTCGATGCATTAACAATTGTCTTCACCAGAATTTGTAAATTTAGATCTTGCTGCATGAAACAAGAGCTGTGAGACTGCTACAATTTCACCTCCAGTGCAAGCCAGTCTTGAGTAATTTCTTAATGCAGGTCTCTCAGATACCAGTAGGCATATTATGTAGACTTGATGGATCAAGGACTAGAACATTTTGAATTGCACAACCACTGCTTACTACATGGGAGGATGCAGTTTTATCTGCATCTTAGACATACTGAATAACTACTAAACAACAGAAAATAAGAAGGGCATTGTTCCCAGGGAAAGAAACAACAACTGAGGGGGAAAACCCCACAATCTTACCTGGAGATAAAAAGGAAGTGAACTGATAGAATATTTCGGTGTCCTTCTTTTGGCCACTATATCCCACAATACTGCCAACCTCTAGGGGGAAAGTCTTGAGATGTGCACCAGTGGCTAGGTCATGGAGTTGCAGGATATTCTTCACATCATGCAGGTAGCACAAAACCAGGAAATTGGACCTCACACAAGCAACCCACTCTGCACAGCACAGAAAAGAAAAACAAAGCCATAGAAAATACAATTAAAAAATGCAAGAAAGAAAACAATCAGACATAATCTGAACCTAACATTCTTCAGCATACCTAAATACATGCAGCAAAATTCCTGACATGCACTGCATTTAACTCTTAAATCTTTGTAAGTCACCTGCCTCCTAAAACAAAAAAGTGAACTGAAAGCAAAGTCTAATATTCTTTGGAAATGCACCAACCATGCTGCTTGAAGTTAATTTATGCAGACACAGGAATAAACAATTGCTTAATCAAGATGCTTATGGATTTGGGATGTTTATAGATCAATATTGCTCTTAAATATCACATATTTCAATGCAAAACCCAAGCAAAATGTTTATCTTTGCTGCCAGTACTTACAAAAATGCATGAAAATCAAAACCATCATTATGATTTATACTCAAACTAAACTAATCAGAACAAACAGACATGTGACTCTGTATTGCACACTGAAGTATAGAACCTACACATACTAATCATCTTGATTTTATTGCTTAAGTAATCAGGAGGCTGTTCTCACAAGCAAGTGCTACCAGGTGTAAGAAAAGGGCAATTCTGGGGTGATATTCCCAATATACCATAAGAAAAAACCCCACATGTTTATTCAAGAAGCCAATATTGCTAAACAGCACACTTGAGACTGTAAGGGAGCAGGAGCAGGATGCAGCACAGTGAACTCAATGCAGCAGAAGGACCCAGGAGCAAAGCACTCTGCTGAGGTTCATTGCCTTTACATCTCTCCTGGCAGTCCTGGGCCCCTGCAGAATTGCCTACCTCAGCTGTACAGCTCTGCAGGAACAAGAGCTTTTGCTTCACAGAACCTTTCAAATTCTGAGTTGGTTCTTTGGAATAATGACTAGAGATATGCAAACTCTTTTTTTTCATGACATGCAGATTTTTTAAATTGGAATTTGGAAAATCCAAACTGATTAAAATGAAAAATCTGGGCTGGAAATTTCTAGAAAAATCTCTGTAGTTCTACTGACCATCTCACTTCAATCCCCATTTCTATACTCTGTGAAGAGCAGAAACTCTTCAGAGCTCCAGTTCACCCCGAATATATCAGGCAATGTATTCTCTCCTGACTCCTGTGCCATTGGCTTTACATCTTTAGCGACAAATCTGTTTAGTTACTCTTGCAGACAGGAAAAAGACTGAAATGCCTTAATCTTGCTCAGTATTTCTGTCATTTAAGAAACTACTATGCAACAAAAGTATTACAATTTCAACTTCATTTCATTAATTCACAAATTGAATACAAGCAGGACAAAATACAAACAAGGTTAAAAGTCAAGAGAGAGTATTCTGAAGGTGAGAATGAGGGAAATTTTTGTTTGTAGGACTAGGTGAGGAGGTGATTCTTATCCTCTTCCAGCTGTACATGTGAAACTTCTTCCCTGAGAAGTCAGACTTGAAATCTAAATCATAGGCAAGGTGTCAGCATTGGCTTATCTTCTGTTTCATCTTCTGGTAGCAAAAAATAAGAAGATGGAATCAAATGACCAAGAAAACTCAGGTAGGACTGACTGGGGCATGCTCATCTCCATTTCACAGTGGTACTTTGGCACTGTGAGATGGAAAGTTTAAAATGCCAACATTGGAAGAAAAAAAATATCAAAAACCAAAACAGAAACATGTCAAAATTGACTGAATTTCAGTTTCATCCTATTTTCCATTATTCACATTTTAACAGTTCTTTCCAGTTTCCCCAGGGTGCTATAAAACCAAATAGTTTGAATTCACAGAGCTGTACTGAATACAGTCTTATAAGTTCATCTTTGCACATTCAGGTTCCAGAACAAAAGTTCAAAGTTGTATCATGTGTCCCCTCCATTAAGGGTGACAAGTTCTTTCTGAATTGACAGTCAAAACTCCTTATTCTGACACAACTGCCTTCTTTACCAGTCCCTGCTTTCATACAGTTAGGTCTGTCATGACCCCCTGGAGCTCAAAGACCTTCAAATCCTAATAGCTCGACAGTCTACTTTGCTTTTAGCTTATTTCTAAAAGACCAGTGAAATTTAACTTTAGTATGACTTTGTAGACATATGAATTTATGTTTCATAAATACCTAAACAAAGCTTTACTACTCCCCTCTTCCCCAACACTACCACTGCTATTTTTTTACCCTCAAACTTTCTAACTCACTCATGAGCTTCTAGTCTAGGGAATTTTCTAACCAAAGCCCCAGAGAACAATGCCAATTGAAACTTCAACCATGAAGCCATAATGTGAAATAATAAGATACAGCACAACATAACAGTGTTGATAAATTAGTAATTGATACGTAATTTTAGTCCTAGAGTGGCTACAATGTCATATTTGAGGCTGGAGAACATAACAAACTTTGTAAGTTAATTATTATATTCAATTACATATTCTGAAATACAGAGCCATCTTTGGTTGTATGAACAAGTAGAACATGCAGCATTGTAAACTATTGGTTACGTTGTCCCTGCACAAATCTGCCAATATTTACATGTATAACTGGTTTATGAACACAACACATGAATTAAAAAGGTACCATCCCAACAGCAACACACCTTTTCTGACTGCAGAATTAACTGCTCTGCAATGAGTAGGAGACCACATGACCTCCACTGGTATACTCAGCAACATCTGTGACTAAAATGTCTGGTTTTACTTTCAAAATTGCTTGACAAAAGTTTCACTAAATGTATTACAGACACTCTCAGATCCACTTCAAAAGTATACAACATATAGTTTTGCTTCAGCAAAGACACTTAAGGCATCTTTATTTTACAATTAAATTGTGATGACCTCTTAGTTCCTCACTGACCATTTGGTGAAGCATTTCAGTTTAATGGATGTTTTCATTAGAAGCTGAAGTACATTATTACTTTGACTTATATATTATGAAGAGATATTACGCTATTAAAAAGATTCACTCGCCCAGGAGTAAGGCTGCTGGCTTATGTGGGGATTCCTGCCACCAAAGAACTTGCCTAGGAAGCAGCAACATTAACTCTCCATCACTCCTTTGATGTTCTGACCTGTCATTTCTACAGCATGTTAAGTGTCCAAATGTACCAACATGCTTTGACAGATGCAGGCTGAAATGCTGATGGAGAGTCATAGAATTTTAGAGGTTGGAATGGAAACAGATCAACTTACACACAAAGAGAATTCTACTTGTTCTATAAAGCAGGTCTTTACTTAAAAAAGTAGCAAGCATGAAGGAATTTGTATAAAAATGGATTAATAAAAAAAGAGTATTGTTTAATAACCAATTGTGCTAGTCAGATAAATCACAATTGTATCTTGCACTGTATGAAGAACAAACTACATAAATGCACACAAAGCATCTGTCAAAAAAACAGCTCAGAGGTTTTTCTGCATTATCTGAAACTAAGTCTCAGTTTTCACAGAACTTTCCAGAAAATGATGCGATTAAAAAACCCCATTTATTTTAATTATATCAAACCCAAAGATTTATGTTTTGAGCTTGCTTTTGTACTTAGAGATTTCCATGCCCTTCAAATTTCCCAAGGCTTTTTTTTTTCAAGTATTGTTCAATCCTCCAGAACAGCAGAAAATCCTGTCTCAAATTCTGATCAATTTTGTTCAAAGTGTGCTGCACTATTGCCAGATTCGCTCTTTTCCTTCTTTCTGCTTAAAAATCCCCTCTCGCTGTAAGCCCTGACTGTCTAGTAAACATTTATTATGCTGACATGAAGCAGGAAAATACTTTCCTTCTTTTTCTACAAACAGAATTAAAACAAGGACAGATGAAGTAACTTCACTATGGCCACAGAAGACATTAGAGAGAGAAAGAGAGAGAAACAGGGAGGGAGAGGGAGAGGGAGGGAGGGAGAGGGAGGGAGAACTCTTACCTAGAACATCCCTTTCATGTTCAGGGACAAGAACTTTCCATTTGGATTCGTCTGGGTCGCTGAAGTCAATGTTGATTAACCGGTAATTTGGAGAGTGGCGGTTTGTCTTGAAAGTGAACACAGTTCCTTCATTCGTGACATACTCATACTCAGCCTCAAAGTTATCTATCAGTTTCACCCATTGAAGAATTCCTGCAAGATCAAACATAGAATGGAAATTCTTTACTTCCTGAGACAAAACCTTTTAACACCTGAGGGCAAGGCCTTCCTGACACTTGCTGCAGGCTCCTTCTTGAACAGCAGCAGTGACCCAAAGTGGTACAGCTATGGAAAGGGCAAAATGTGTACTAAGAACTTCCAAAGAGTTCTCCAGATTGATAGGCTGCAATGGAAAAATTCCAGTTCATGGACATGTTATAATAACTGGTCCTGAGGAATTTCTAGCAAAACACACACAGAATATGGACAGGATTATGGCTAGTGTTTCACCAGCTTTCCTAGGGGGCTGCTGGAAAGCTCAGGTATTTGCTACAGAAGTTGATTTACTACACTGGCTGCTGTGAAGACAATGCCATGGAGCACATCAGGGTCTTGTCAACAGAGCTCACAAGTCCCCACTTCTACAGTCATCTTAGAATGGGGAGTGGCAGCTGAATCAAAAGCCTGTACAAGGCTTTTGAGCTCAATTTTATTTTTCATAGCTTTTCTAAAACGATTGTGTAATTATAAAGAAATGTTCCTGAGTGTTTTTTTATTTTGTCTTTCTGAAAAAAAACCTTATTTGAATGGAAAGCTTTTCATTCTTCTTAAGAGCCCAGAACTTGCCACAGAATAGAAATTATACTATTTGTATGAGTACAATAAACTTCAATATGAGGAGTTTCCCTTTTAACTCAGAAACAACATTCCTGAAATGTTGTTCTGCAGAAGCTTGTCACCACCAAAGGACAACTACAGTTAGCTAAAATGTTAACATCTGGGTTTGCAAAGAATAAAATTGCATTTTCCCTATCAACCTTCTAGAATATCACACTCAGTAATGAAAGTGGTACAGAGTGAGTAGTATTGACTCAACCTGGAGTTAGGACTTTTAGACTCCACTAATTTTTGTTCACATTTTACTGTTTTGTAGTAAGTTAGAGGCTAATAGAAAGAAAAAGCA